GGTTTCAGAGAAATTTCAAATCCAGTTTCAGTACTTTCAATCCAATAAAAAATTGTCGTCACCCAACTGAGTTTTCTTCCAATGCTCATTTTAAACATCTATTTTCAAACTGAAAACAAATTATCTGTGCACTAAAACACAAATGATGGAACTGACATAAAAACGAAACAAAACAAAGGTTTACAGTAATATATGAAACCAAAAAACCTTTCAGTGAATGGAAAATTAAGGTAATGCCTGAATTTCATACTCTACATTCAACGGAACCATCAAGTCAAAATGGAATTTTTTAAAGGGTTTCTAACTTCCTATGTACACACCTAAGTACACATTTAAATGTTTATCAGTGGGCTGCAACAACATTTGCTGTAAGATTCTTTGAAATCAATCGTCTGCCATAGGAATGCCTGTACAACTTATACGATCTTGCTCAGTCAGTGAGTTTAATCACGCATGCTAATTGGTTTCTTATGGGTCCTTTAAAACTAAACAAATTGGTTTACAGAACCAAGTTCTTCATTCAGATCCTTACAAGTATGGCCTTACTTAAACCTGAAAATCCAAGGAACCTGATAAGTCCTACGGGTTCATATCCTTTGCCTCAACTCAAAAAGGAAAAACCCGACAGTTTTATATCAAGTGATATACAGTCAAACACAGTGAAACCATAACAGAGCCAGTGTTTTTATTCCATGGGTAGTCTTTCTCTGGAATCTATCAACCTACATACATCTCGATCTCAAGACTGATAGCCAAAATCTTTTTTCTTTAAACTGAGATCGTCTTCTTGGGCCCTTTTTCCTTCTTCCCGTTCTGTCCCATGCCACGGATCACCTCGTCGAAGCTCTCATGGTTAAAGTAGATCTTGGCGATGGAGTTGAGCAGCTGGTCCACCTTCTCGGGGAACTCGTCCATCAGGTCCTGCTCCTTCTTCGGACCACCGTCCTCGTCTCCCTCGCCTGGCCTCCTGTCCCCGGGGATGGCCGGCGGCTTACCCAGCCCCGTCCAGAGCTTCAGCCGCCTGATCATGAAGTCCACCATCTCGTACTCGTTGGACTGCTTGGAGATGTCGGCGTTCACAATCTGGCGGGGCAAAGAGAAAACAAAAGTGTCATTTTCATTGTATAATGGAACACAGGTTTGAGGTAAAACAATGTGAAATCTCTTTTTAAGTGAGTGAGGCTTCGAAGAGAACTGGTGGATATGACATTGTGGAAAGTCTGCTCCGTCTGCTGTCAGGAGACTGTAGGGATACCAACTAGGAGAGGGCTTACGCTGAGGAACTGGAAGCAGTGAGACATAGAGACGATGCGACTGTAGAGCCCTGGTGAAGTAAGTAATGCATCCAGTGATATGAGATAGTGGGTACGGTCACTCTAGATTTGGTAAGGAGATCCTACATAACACCACAATTTAAAAATAAAACTTACTTTTGGGTGGACTATTAACCCACAAAACCTCAGAAGGGTTGGGATTCTGTGTTAGAAATTGGACGATGTTAGGTTACATGCAGGTAAATGTAAGGGATGCTAAATTTAAACAGCCAGCTGAGCTATTTTGCAATGCGCAGCGTTGAAGTCTAGTCCATCACAAGTCTCCTCACAAGTCTAGTCAAAAGTCCATTCATTAAACCAGTCACTAGTAACAGAGTGAAAAGTGACAAAAAGAATGTTTTTGTCACGGTTCATTTGAACAGCTTGCAGTGTAGCTTGGGTGTGTAGGAACTGGAGATGGACTTGACTCGAATGCTGGCAAATGTGCAGCTCTGCCTGGGCTTCTCCTCTATCCTTTCCTTCCCTTAAGAGAGAAACGTTGGAAAAGTCTTGTACCTTGAATGCTTCATTGATGATGGTCAGGAACATGTTGATCAGGATGTAGCTCATGGACATCATGAATGAGAAGAAGAAGAAGGGGCCTAGTGCCTTCTGGGCACTCATCAGCTCCTTGAACTTAAACTTGCCCAAGATGGCAGCAATCAGTGACTCGCAGGTGTAAATGAAGTCGGAATAGTCGTACACCTGGTGGTTAGGACAGCTAAGAATGCAAATCTAGGACTATGGACTCAGTAGATGGCCCTATATGGTTTACTCAAAGGAGCCACTGTGTGAGGACACCTGCATGCATGTATGAGCATGTTAATCCTTAGGCTAACCTGAGAATTAAGGATGTCCACGAAACACCGGTGGTGAGGATGGTGCATGGACGGGCCCAGATCCACACAACACAGGGCTGCCAAGTTTGACTAAGAGCTGAGTGTGCCAAAATTGGGGACGGAGTACAAAGGCCTAAAGGCATTGGGATTGGGGGCTCACATGTTAATTACATTCTCAGGATGAATGACATAATTTTTTTTAATTATCTTCCAAGAAGTGTTTGCTAAGGAACAGTTTCACAGAAATAAGGTAGTACCAATGGGCTTTCCAAGATCTAGCGAGCATGTGAGAGAAGCAGTAAGGTACTTACGTTGCTGCCGAATATCAGGTAGAAGGCCGTGGCAAAAGCAAAGAAGACAATGCCAAACATGATGCCAAAGTACATGAGGTCTGATGAGCAATTGTGGATGGTGCTGGAGAGGACCCCAATGCGACGGTTGAAGCGCAGCAACTTCAGGAACTTGAGCGAGGCCAGGAACACGATCCAGCCCAGCATGTAGCCCAGGAGCTCATTCCAGTACGCTATGTACTGCAGCTTGATGTAGCGGTAGCCCCCTTCCTTAAGCCTGGCCAGCAGGCCATTGGTGATATAGAGGCGGTAGAAGTAGATGATGGCCGCCCCGACCGAGAAGCCGATGATGGCGCACTCCGTCCAGTTCCAGAAGTTGCGCAGATACTGCCGCCGCTCCCGCCGGGCGTTGCGCACCTCTTTGACGATGAAGAAGAGGATAAAGCAGAAGAACATGACCTCACAGATGATGCGGACCAGGCCAAATCCCTCGGCGTAGGTCAGGAGCCGGATGATGTCTACCCGGTGTGTGGGCTGGCCAGCGCCTGTCTGGAGGAACTCGGCTGTCAGGCAGACCACGGCGAAGAGGTTGACGTGCGGGTTATAGCAGGAGAACTCAATGAAGACTGCCCGAGTGTAGCGGTCGATCCACGTCTCGTTGTACAGTCGGCGGAACATCTGGCGCATCTCATGCTGGGAGCCGTCCACAACCACCACGTAACCACCTCCACCATACAGTGCATGCTTCCCCAGGAATGGGTAGCCCTCCAGCTCGCTGGCTGGAATATACCGATAACTTTCAGCTGTCTCATCTGAATCGTTCACTGTTTGCCAGGCTCTCCCGTAATCAGCTGTGTCCTCATTGAAGAGACTGTATTCCTCATTACATTCAGGAACAATCTCCTCAAAGCTCTCATGGACGTCACAAAGACCTACAGAAACAGTTTCATTATATCTCCACCCTGCTCAAGTAATGGTTATGTTTTGATTTAGACTCTACTTCCACAGCTAAAGACATTCCAAGCAAACAAATAACAGTCTTTGGGAACCTGCATGAAAACAGCCCAGCGACACGAACTTCATGGGCATGCTTACAGTTACGGTGCCTTTCCATATGTACGTCTTTTGGGAGCATTGTCAGTGGACACAATGCATTTATGCGTTTCACATTCATGGACACAAAATTGACTCTATTAACATAACATACGTGTGCATTGCATTCGGCTGTCAGAAACGTCCTGGGGAATGATGCTGACGTGCACATGGAAAGGTGCCTTTATATAAACTTTCCTGCTAAATGTAGGGGGAAAAGTGACATGCAGTTATGATTATCTACCATGAGGGAGAGGTTTCTTGAAAACCTATGTCACATGGGATTTTCATAGAGCAACCCTACATGCAGTTTGAAGCCAGAAGTCGAAACAACAAAAGTTTACAACTCATGAGTTCAAGGTTTAAGCATGGGAGAAAAAAAAAGTTTTACCCCAACAGCATCGGGAATAGAAGTGATATCAATTTTCTCACCATCTCATCAATGCATCATTTTGTGGTGCAGAAGCTCTGCCCAACTCTGCCTCCTTTTGCCAGACTATGTGAAAAATTATGTTCATTTTCAGAGCCATACATGGGCAGATCTACTACCAAATGTTTGTTTTTATAAGAGCCAAAAGATCTGGAAATTTTCTTGCTCATTCTGAGGGGTGAAGTGAAATCTTGTGTTTTTGTGCACATTTGGAAGAAGGGAAATGAATTAGTTTCAAAAATTTCCTTTCCCTCGTCTTCCAAAACACCCACCCCCTAAAAAATACTGCTCCATTTAGGGATACCATCACTCCTCCTTAGCCCATCTAGATCTACCAGTGGAGCTACCTAGCTCCTCAGATTCCAGCAGTCGCCTCACCTGGCTTAATCCGGAGCTGCCTCATCACCACTTTGCCCAGGATGAAGGACTGACGGTCGCCAAAGAAGCCGGCCTGGTGGGGATCCACCTTACCGTTGTACCACCTGTCAGCATAGAGGTTGGGAACCAGACCAGTGTCTACCCACCTCCAGAAATGTTTGATTCCACTGACCTGCCACCGCATCATACACAGACTGTTTCATTTTCATCATCATTTTTGAGGGAGCTTAATAAATGCCATTAGGGTGGCAGTATAGCACCCAGTTGAAAGTTAATGTGTGCTAAATAAATATGAATAGGTTGAGATGGGCTTTTTTGACATAGTGTGAAAACCTGGCTTGATGTTAGTGGTGTATGTATTTATAAATTCACATTGAAAGAGTATAAAGGCCGATTTAATACTTGGCACGATGGCCAACACAAACTTGCGACATCAGATCACATGTTCATGCTGCAAATTCGCAAAAGTTGAACACATTTCAACTCAAGCCAATGTCACTGGAAATATTTGGTGGGATCGTATTCACTTTGATTTAGCATTTGCCTGAAGTGTGAACCAGCCTTAAATGCGATTTTCCTGTATGCCTTTTCTTTCCCTCTGTTTTTGTTGGGGTGGATACAAGAGCAGTTTCAGTCTATTCCATCGCTATGCAATTGCTGTCTTACGTTCTTGAATGTGATTACATTTAAGCCGATAATAATCTGGAACTAATGTTGCTTAATGGCATATCCAGGTCTTGGTTCAGGGAGGGGGCAAAATGGATTTTTTTTCATCAATCAAAGACAAAGGTGGCAGTACTATTTGGCAAGGAGAATTGTTTGACTGGAAGAAATTCTAATAAATTTTCACCCAATCTCATTAAGAATTTGTACAGATTGACCAGTAGCGGAAATAGGGTTTTTTCAAGGGGACACTAAATGTAATGGACTGCAGTCTGTTTATATGTGTTTACATTTCAGGATTTTTAGAGGGGGTAGCACCCAAGGGGACCCAGCTTTACACTGCAGGGGAGGGGCATGTACCCCCATGTCCCCCTCCCCCCTGTAGTTGCACCACAGTGACTGACCTTGTTGAATGTGTTGATACCATCTCCGTTGTTCAGCGTGTTGACAAACTGGTCCTTCATGTAGAAGGCGAAGGGGTCGACGTTGCTGTAGCTGAAGACCATCAGCGTCCAGAGGAAGACGATGTAGAAGGCGATCTCCCGCAGGATGTTGTACATCTTCAGCTCCTTCATGCGCTGCTCACGGATGCGCTCTAGGTCGGCCGGATCCGGGGGCTTGTAGGCGATCTTACGCTGGGTCGGGGAAGCTGTGTGAGAGTTGGGAAGGTCGAGCGAGGTTGGGAATAAGCAGCAGCCAACTTCAATGAAACAGTCTGTAACTCACATGCCAGTCAAATACATGTAACTTAGAATCTGGTGTTGTAGTTGAGACTACCACGAGACCTTGAACAAGACCCGGCACGAGACCAGTCACAAGTAACAGGGTAATGGCATTAATGAATGCTGTCATTGCATTTCATTTGAATATGTATGTAGCAAGTATGACCTGAATTCAGACTGGAGGTCTAGTGTTGGTCGATCCTGTGGTGGTCTTGTGATGATCTACAACATTTTTAGAACTTATGATAATAGTTTCTTTTGTACAACACACCGCATCTTATTAGGCCAAACAAAATAACAGTTGTGCTTCTGGTTACCTGCCCCAAGCTAGCAAATCGCCCTGACCCTAAACCTTTTTATTGAAAAGAAATAAAAATTAAGAATACTCTTGCCAACCCTCACGCTTATTTCAGGGGTGTGAAATCCCCACTTTTTTGATGAGTATGCCAAATTCCATTTTCCACTGTTTTGCCATCAACAGGCTATATTTTCCTAATTTTTCTTCCTTGCCTATCAGTGCCTATTTTTCCGTTATTTCTTTTTCTACCAAAGCAACACAACGGCCAGGTCAGACTTTGCACGTCCTTGTTCGGACACCGAACAGTAATGGAGCTCCCTAACGCAGCGACTGAATCTACTGTGCTTGCATATGTACAGTACGTGTACAGTGATATGTACATGTATCTGTGTTCAAAGCGCAAGCCTTGTGTGTGAACAGCATCCTGGGACCATCTGGTCATTGTGTTGTGATTAGCTGCCAATGAAACATCAATATTCATATATGCGTAGGTGAGACTCATTACAGCCGTTCTTGCGTGAGCGAAAGTAGTGACTAAAAATCTCCACTCTAACTCACAGTAGCACACATTTCACTGTGAATTTACGCCTTGAAATAAGGTTTAGGTTAGTACGTTTTGGCTTTCACTGATAGAAGGTTTCATGACAACTGACATGGGGCATGCAAAGTTACGTGCATCGTTTGTATGAGCTTTCAAACAATTTTTTGGACATTAACTTATCAAAATGTCAATGTAACACAAATGTTTAATTGTCCGATGAGGCTCTAACTTGGATAGCCTACAATCTTTGACAAGACCAATCCTCAAGTTACAAATCTGCCAAAAAAAACCGTGGATGGAATACAGACCATCAAAATCACTTTTTAATTAACAAAAGAAAAAATTCCTCACCCTAAAATTTTTGACCCAAAAACTTTAGAAGAAAATGAAGATACTACTCACCTACCCAACCTATTTTTTTTTTCAATGTAATAGGAAGCACAGCTGTTATTATGCTTGGCCCTTGTAAAATCTTGCCAAGAACTTTACACGTTTAAACATACATACTGTTAAGACTAGAGTTATGTTACCAGTCTTTAGCCAGTTGAACAATTTAAGTAGGATCCATTTCAAGCAGCTGAACATGGGCAGGCATTATGTAAACAAGTATTTGTGTCTGGTTTTGGGACAATCATAAATTAAGCACTGAATTGGATCCATCAACTTGGAACATTTTTTCATTTGACTTCAAAAGGAAGGAGCAAGTCTCACAACGCTCTCAAGGGTAGCAAGCATTCCTTTAAACTGAACTGGAAATCGCTGCATTTCTGGTATTTCAACGCTTTCTGGTATATCTGCCCCAAGCTGAAGTGCACCCCCAATCGGCGAAAAGAAAGACAGGTGGTTACAGGCGGATTCTTGCGCGTGTTCTGCATGTCTGCAAAGACCATACATGCCGGCGTAAATTAGTTAGGCGTACTCTGTGTGCTCCGCGTCAAACACACATATATGCCTGATGGTGCGCAAGTGTATGTTCCTATGCGGTGAGTACCAAAAAAACACGCCCTCTTTTGTTCCGCTCGGAGGGAAAAGTCTCGAGCAATGGCTTTGCCATATGCATGTGCACCTCAGTTACAAAAAAACAAAATGAAAAATAAATGAAAAGCTGTGAATGAATGTTAAACGACATTACTGAGGTCACCCATGGATGCACCTACAAAAGTCATGCAGCCACATCTCGTCCTTGCCCAGCTCCTTGTCCTCCTCATCTTCTTCCACATCTCCCTCCTCCTCGTCAGCGTTGGGGCTCTTGATGATCAGCGCGATGAACATGGCCACCAGCAGAATCTGAGAGAGGAAGGCAGACACGGGGGCACTGATGATGCCGAGGAGGTTAAGGGGTTGTGCGTCAAAATTGGACAGCCGAATAGCATAAAGCTGATGTCAGGAATTAGTGTTATATCACGAGACCAGTTATTGGTAGCTGACTCTACCTTTCAAAGTTTTTGAAAGTGTTTTATCGGGGAATTCTGAAATGGAGCCCGGCTTCATAGATTGCTAAGACAAGTTTATGATTTGAAGGTTTGCGTAGTGGGCGTAGTAATAAGAGTGCAGGTTGGAGGTGGCACAGTGTGAATGCAGCACCGTTACATTGAATCCTACTGACCAAATCAAAAATAAACCTTGCATCATGAGTCTGGATGACAAACAAGTGATGCATTTTATACAAATTTCATGGAACGGAAAAGAAAGGTGTGTGGGGAGGGGATCAGTTCCATGAACATCAGTTTCTATCTTGGACTGTGACAGTGAATGTCAGTGAGCTAGTACTGGCCAGGATTGTGCTTGGATTTAAATGTTGGAGCTTTGGACTTTTAAGTTGTGTATTTCAGGTCACTCACTTTAGGTAAGCACTTTAGGTAAGCACTTTAGGTAAGCACTTTAGGTAAGCACTTTGGGTAAGCACTTTAGGTATGCACTTTGCGGGACCGACTTGTTTATTTCTTGCTTGTCCAGTTTAGGTGAATTTCCTTTTTAATCTTTTTCAATGGGCAAATGGGCTTGTTAGATTTGCCCTTTTGCACTGTGATTGAATTTTCTTGCCACTTTTGCAATTTTTTCCCTCCAACTAACCTTCACAATCATGACCTCCTTATCCATTTTACCCCACTGTAAAATAAACATTTCGCTTTCCTTATTCTGTGGCCATTATTCAAGTTCGGTTTCCTTCCATAGTGAAATATCTACTTCGGTGTGCGGAGAATCGAGCCAACAACGCTAATGCCCCAGATAACTTTATGAATGGCTTACAAGCGATTGTACAAACCCAATGCTCAGTGGGAGTTTTAGCCTTGACAGTTCTTTGAATACGTCTCCCTCCATCAGTTTGTTGGGGCAAAAGTTGGACTGTGTGCCACAGGCCCTGCTGCTATTGTATTGCCCAAAACTGACTTCAGGAAATCCAATTACTGAGCAGTAGGATTAGACCACTGGTCTACAGTTATTTGACCTTGCTTAATCCTCTTATCACAGGTGGCTCAATGGGGATTAAAAGGCAGTGTCCTTTATGCTTCTTTTCTATGTCCTCACAAGGTCAACTTCTCTCATGATTTTTTGCCTTGTAACTATAGGCGAGAAGCAAACGACAGCAAACTGCCAAAGGCACCACTTCCTTTGAATGCTGCCTAAACACACAAGTGCAACTACTAACCGTGGGCTAATGCATATCCAGACTATTAGGACAATATTACCAGAGCGGAGTATTAAGCCGACTTAAGCCGAGGGAAGGATAAAAGTGGCCAGCTTGAAAACATTTCAGCCCTCAAAAGAAACCCCATGGACGACGTGACCCGTGTATTTAAAGCTGTGTCTTGTCTTAGAATGGCAAACCAAGGTATCATATTGTACAACTGCCAGGAGATTCAGATTTGTGTACTACATCTTTGTCTATTCAATCAAACTTACGAAACGGTAGTTACGTGTATGTTTGCTGGTATCTCCAACACAAATGACGCTCAAATGATGTACATTGAATTGAAAGAATGTCAAGTGAAAAGTAGACGGATGAAAATGCCTCCAGTGCTCTCTGTGCCATTTTGCTGGCACACTGCGATAATCAGGGCCATATTATCCAATAGACACAGAAGGCCTCATGCATACAGAAAAATTTGGGATTGACAAAAAATTTGGAGGGCCAAAAGATACCACAGTGCATTTCTTTCATTTCAGGTTCAATGTTGAACATTTTCTAGCTAGTACATAGCTTACTAGTATAGGTTTAAGCATCAACATAAAATACAGTGCTTATTAGCACTATGAAATTATTGCTACTGCTATGACTGAGAAGGCCAACAGAACACTGCCGCCTGGGGCCAACTGAACCTACAGCTTAGTCAGGGATTTAACAAGGGGGGGGCAAATAGGAGGGCTGGACCTGTTAACTGTGATGGTCACTACATGTGGACTTTCAAAAAGCCTTTTGCGGGTTAAATTTGAATAAAATCTGGTACACTAGGCTATCTGGTTACACATAAACATAATAATTGAAATTCTCCAGACTAAAGCCACTGTTGCTATACCTTATGATTTGGGGCAAGCTTTGGCATACCGACCACCATCTCTGGAATGGACTGATTGCTCTGTGCACTTCTTATCCATGGAAAATAGTGAACAGGTACAAGGTGTCTCTTATGTAACTAAGCAAAGCTAGCCCAAATAATCACGAGGTATAGCAACAGTGTCTTTAATATGGAGAATTCAAATTATGTTAATGTAAATTGAAAGAACTCAGAGCACCAGATCTTATTCAAATTTAACTCACAAAATGCTCATTCACCTTATAGTAATGCACTAGTTTCAGTGACAGTGCTGTGCAATGTTATAGCATTACATGTACTTCAAAATCATGCCAATGACAGTACACGTCGTGTACAAGTTTTTCAAAGTTATTTCCACATTCCAAGCTATGCGCAAAAATGTCATACATTTTTACACACCAAAAGTTGAACGGTCACACTTGTGCATTGAAAGTTAACTGGGTCAGTGGTCCAAAAAGTTGTGTGTAGTGGGGTGTTAGATGTCATTTTCCAGGGTCAACAAACACAGAGCAATTAGGGTAAACTTGAGAATTTCTTGTTCATTGATTCCATTTATTAAAGCAAAACACATTTTGTTTGAAAGTACCTACAGTATTCTTGGGTACTGTTCTTGTCTCAGTTTGCCATACATTTATGGGGGGGGGACGCAGGGCAACTGGGGACCCCCCAGCTACACCTCTTTCTATACACTCAATCTGGCCTTGACATGATGCAACTGGAACCAAATGGCTAAAGGGCCTCACCTTGATTGGCTGGGTGAACAGGATACCTGTGATGAAGGAGATGACCAGCGAGGTCAGCCACTCCTTGGTGGTCTGATCGCCAAAGCTGATACCGTAGAAGACGGTGAAGACGGTCGCCGTGACGATGGAGAGGATGCAGAGGATCCAGCCGATGATGACCACCCACCAGGGCAAGGAGAACTTCCTCTTCTTCCTTTGAGCAGAGGGCTTCTGGGGTGGATTAGAGGCGGTGGTCCGGATCGTGACGATGGGCGCCTCGTCCGCCTGGTTGTCCAGGAGGTTCACCTCGGAGCGCGTGCTGATGGTGTCCTCGACGTCAGTCGCTGGCCTGTTCTCCATGACCACATGAGTGGGGGAGATCTGCAAGAGAGATTGCAGGGGTCAGCAAAAGCATTCAATTAGCATCTTAGGCCCAGCTTATTTTGGAATTATATTAACGAGTGTAAAAAGAATACTCTTTTTCTAGATCATACCCCAAACCTCTACTATAAAGGGCGAACCGGAAGATGAACATGATTTTTGTGTGAGGTATTGTCATCTTTGGATAGCATCCATGGCAACAAGACGCCTTCTCCACCCCCCCACCCACAATACCATTTGCCCACTCAGAAAAATGATACCAAAATGGATGGCTCCTAAAACTTATAGTTAAAGGGCCCACGGAATGGATTTCTTTCAATGCAATCTCTTATAAAACGTAGGCTACTTATGTGGTCACATGGGCCTTACGATCCTTATACAGCCTGTTGTAAGGCGTGTTAGCCTTTTTTAGCCCTGAAGTTCATTTCAGGCAGAAGCTTCAGCGTTATCACTGAGTCAGCACCAAAAGTTGCTTGACTCTAAGGGTTCTGCTTTGGTCCATTTCTGTTTTTTGGGGGTATGCCAATCAGTAAATTTAAAGCAAACTCAATGCCAATATTGTCAATGGGACAGTGTTCATTATACTGAACGGAAAAACCAGAGTCTGCATAAATGTCCTCTCAGCAACAGCGCCGCCAAGATAACTCCAACCAATCCCCACCCCAGGAAAAACTATCATATGAGGAACATGTAATATGTGAATGGAACATTAATGAAGAAATGGACATAGCTAGAGGAGACACTGATTTATGGGTTGTATCACAAACAGCATTCATGATGCCTAGACGCTTTCTGTATATGTGAATTGTGCACAGCTGATAACTTTCAAAAAGATTCCTCAAAACCCTCCGCCGGCGAAAGATTTCTCACTACACTGCCTCTCGTGCGGAGTGAAGACCGAGGTTGTTCACTCCTGGTCATCGTCTCTTACCACATCCTCCTTGCCAACTTTGTACTTCTTCCTGAGTTCTTCCTGTTGCTCCTTGATGATGCGGCGGTGGGACTTCTGCCTCCTGCGCGGCCGCACCTTGCGGAAGATCTGCACCACCAGCAGGGTGATGGGGAACACGATGATGCTGGATTGGACGCCAATACTGATCTGAAGATTTGGGGGAGGGAAACCAACAAGGACAGGGAAGAAATTAATGACTCACCAAACTAGTTGAAACTGAGACAATGCTCGATCTGTTCCCCCAACTGACTACTTAAAGCCTCTGTGTGTATATATCCTGTAATCCTGTAATACACTGGCTTTTCATCATGGGGAAATAGATCTTTATTGCTCTGGCAATTGCAACAATAATACTCCTACATTCCCCTTGAAGCCATCTCGATTTGAATAACATTTGTCTTTGATGGTGACAGTTCATTGTCGCCCAGCACAAAAAGTTTTCATGGACATGCACGGAGCACAGTGACTGAACCACAGTCCACACTCAAACTTTCTCTAAAAGCTTGGCAAATACCTGTGCTGGGGACAGGCTGAAGGGTCCAATGTTGATGGCGCTGGAGGAGGTGGCCGGCGGGACCACCTTGTACCACATGATGTTGACCAGCATCTCCAGCCACAGGGCCATCAGGCAGCAGGCCGTGCGCTGGACACGGGTGAAGCGGCTGCCCACGGGCCGCAGGAAAATGGAGAACCACAGGTGGCCGTCGTTCAGGTTCTTACGGGTGTGGCTGGAGAAAACGTGGCTGAAGCCCTGCATCTGCTCTCGGCCGGCCACGGGGAGCAGCCTGTCCACCTGCAAGGGGAGGGGGAGGTTAAGGATAGTGGTTGGGGGGGGCATGCAGTGAGCAAGGCCTGCAATAGAGTCCCTTCCAGAGCCGTGTATAGAGAGCATTGCAATATGAGTGTCACCATTGTTGGAAACAAACTGGTAGGTCTATGTGCCAATGCCCAGCACACCTGCTATGTAGCTCTACTATGCTTATAATGAACAGCCATTTTGTTTCCAAAATCTAGGGCAGGCGCTACTCTATGTGCAGCTGGTCTCTTCAATTTTGTAGATGAGACCCTAATACGACCAGACACAAGCCCTGATGCAAGACTATTCACCAACCACACATAACAGGGTATTCAGTGACAGGAAATGCTTTTGTGGCAGTTCATCTTAAAAGCGTACAATTTGAATTTATACTGGAGATCTTGTGTTGGTCTTATGATGAGTGATTGTCTTAAGCGTCTTACTTGCAGCACAGCCCATCAAATGTCAAGTCCCTTTTCAACTCTTAAGTCCTTTAACAATACGTGTAACCTTGTAACAAATGGCTGTACTCGGAACAAAAGACCGAGCTGCTAGGCATTGGCAACATTTTTTCAGTTGTCAATAGCGGAGGAAATCCGTCATTGTTTTGAAAGATTATCCCACTGTTTGTGGCATTCAGTGCTAGTGGATTACCACCGGGGACAAAAGTGCTCCAGTAATGAGCGATATAATACCGCTTGCACGCTAATCTGGTCCCTATTGAAAAGATGCCAGCAGTGCACTATGCCAGTTTTGGAAACAAAAGAAAATTACATAACACCGCACAATCTGGGCTCGTTTTACAAGGCGGCAGGCCTGGCTGAAATATTCGAGCATCAATAGATGTTGTCTGTCAAATTAGAGTAGCCACCAGACAGTCATTTGTGTGGGTGTAAACATCCAGTAAATGAAGTTACGAATTTTAAAGAATTTTGAAACAGAAAAAAAATGGAAAATCACCCAGCCCAGCAGAATAAACATGGATAAACATGAATGTGACTGAAACTGTTTATCAAATGTCATGGTCCATGAAATAAAGAGATAGGTGTTTTAACCTGGCCATCATCGTCGACCAATGAGAACCAGCGATTGGCGATGAAGTAGAAGCGCTGTCTAGTTTGCAGGTCCCGCACAGCCGCGTAAGACAGGAACCAGTTCTGCATTGCGCCTTTGCCCGAGTTGTCGTGCCAGAGCCGCATGTAGTTCAGTGTACCCAAGGGTCTGAGGTGAGGAGGGAATTCCACACTGCATTCTTCAAATATACTTCCAAGGGTTTTGAGGCCAGTAAAATAGGCCCAAAATGCTGACCAAATTATGATTTGCAGTGTCTCAATGGACGGTTTGAGGCCCATTCACTTGGATGTTCACAAAACTGAAGGGGTTCCAATAAACCCACATGATGAGTTCATGTTTCTCAAGGTATTTAGATGAAGAATGGAAATCATTTCTCCAACTCAGTGGAGCGATCTTCACCGGTGTGAGAAGTCTTAAGGCCACTTTTGGATGCGGTCATTATTGCAAGTGAATTTCACCTCAAAATTTGGTCAGGGAGTGAAAGATGGTAAATCCAGCTTTATTTTGATGTTTGTCTTAAACTTCTGAGAAGTCTTACAGATTTATGAAGTGTGGGCATTTGTCACTATCCTAGTGTTACTTTAGTCTGCAACCCTTGGATGGGTTTCAAAGCTCGTTTTAAAATAATGGAGATATTTTATTCACTAAGTCTATGAAGTGAAAATATGTCAAAATAACAACTTAACGCCAATATTTTCCTGATAAATTTTCTGCATAGAAAGCTACCTTGAAGATTAATGTATCAGAAATGTTGTATACATACACGATGTAATACATTATTGGACAGTGGGGAACTATCACTGAAGTCCCAAGTGAGAATAGAGGGGGAGGAGAAGGGCTGTTTCCGCCCCCCCCACCATCCACTCTGAGGGATCTACAGACCTTGCCAAGAAATGGGTTATGTTAAAGAGGCCATATCTGACCTAGGCACAGCCATGACAAAGCGGTCGATGGAGCCCGTCTGTAGGATGGGGCGTTTGTCATCCTCAAACATCCTGACCTCCGTCTCGTCGTCTTCGCCAGACAGGATAAAATGCACCTGGCAATTAATCCGCATACAGAGATATAGATGAAAAGTCTGACCTATCAGAAATTTTGCACACTGATCCACATTTAGAAGCAGAATTTATTGACAAATGTCCTTTTTCTATTCTGCAAAACTGAATGCGGGCGCAACATTTACATACACTGACGTATGCTTCAAACTTAAAGTGAATGACATCCTTGAGAGGTGACATTACTGAAAATTGTTTTTTTTTGGTGCTTTTTGCAAAGTGTTAATTTCTTTTTGAAAAATTCCTTGGAAAATGACCCTCGCACGAATATTGTAGGTGCAGGTGCATTTACAATCCTAAGTAACCGGCAAGAAAAAAATATGTATTTAGCATGACATATACAGATGTTGTCAAATGGTCAAAAAAAAAAAGACTGCACAGTAGAAGTCTCTCTACCTTTGAGTCGGTGCCGGAGCCTTTCCATTGCCCTGTCATGACCGCTATCTCATACAGATACTTGTCCTTGGGCTTGTTGTCAGCCAGTGGGGTTAGTCCTTGCTAAAAATGCAAAGTATTGGTGACTCTATCATCTCTGAGGACTGTGCAGAGATATGACACACTGGTATAAACTGCAGATGCTCCCTGCAAAATAAAACCTAGGTTCCTGTACCTACGAGGCAATAAGATTCTATAACCGTGTCAAAATTGTGACAATCCCTAGCCTAGCGATGGGTTGAAGGTTGCCATTTACTTGACTTATAAACTTTGTTGGCAGGTGAAGGATAGTCTGTGGTGACAGGCCCTTGTCTCTTGGTACGCTAAGGGTTCGTCATGGGTCATCTCACATGACAATAGTAATGACCTAGTCCATCAAAATGCACATTGAAACTTCAACACCTGAAAAACTGCATTTTGTTGGGAGGGTATGAAAATTGAATTTCCAATGCTACATTATGAACATAATACAAAGAGTGAAATTCTAAAATAAGTTGGGCCTCACAAATTTCGATGACTTTCGTCAGGTTTGCAAACCTCTGCATCTATACAAGCCTGAAAGTAACAATTAAGCTCAGGGACTTTTCCAATTTTTTTCAATGCTGCAGGAATCAATACTAATAGCTTTAGCAAGTTTCTGTTGAGAGACAATGTGATGGATTTGTGTGTATTCAACAGAAAATTGTTCGCAAGCAATATGGCTATTTGCACCCATGAACCAACACTGTGGCCTGTTACAGGCTACATATATATATAAAACCTACGTGTTGGTGCTCTGACTAGCAAACTGACCATGATGATGTCCTTCCTGTCCTTTCGCCGTGCCCAGATGAAAATGAAGGCAAAGAGCACGTAGATGGCGATGGTGGTGATATAAATAGTCAGGTTCTCCAAAAATCCTGCATTGTTGAAGATGTACTCAAAGTCAAGTGGAGTCGGGGGCACTATCCAGGTGCTGGCAAAGTCAGTCAAGTGCCTGGAGAAACACTGGGTCAGGTCCTTGGTGGTCTTGGGTCCAACCTGACAAATGGCGGGAAATATACAATATATTGACTGCTGCTCAGGGCAAATATTGAATTTCCTTGCTTGTTTGCATAAAGACCTATGATGTATTTCAAGCATGGGTTACCAAGCAAAATTGACCAAGGGTTGCTGATCAAACCAAGCAACAGATGTATTTTTTGACAATAACGTCCTATCATGACAAGCGTGTCCAAATTGCTCAACTGTGTCTGAATTTACACACTACTCTATGGATAGTAGCTTGGGGAGCAATCCATAGAGTCCTGTGTAATTTTAAGCCGTAGCCAGGCTATCCGGACATGGACCTTACCCTGACTCCCTCGGTGGACCATTCCTGAGTCAGGTTGTTGAAGTAAGCACAGCCCGAGACATACACGCACAGCGTGTAGTTCCCTGTGAAGTTGAACACCCGGTGCATCCTCAGGATGTCATCCAGCACCTCCCGGGGGCTGAGGTGGTCGTCGAACACTGTGTCGGGCAGGTCCCCCTGGGGGGCCTGGGGGAGCTCCACGATACCCAGGTAGTAGGTACCCGTCCGGTTGGCGATGTAAGTCTCGTTAAGGTAGACCGTGTAGTCACTGACATTGGCTGTGGGTACGGGGGATGTGGTGGGGGATGTGGTAGGGGATGAGGGATGAATAATGGCATTTGAAATGAATTAATGACTCAATAACGTGAACTAAGAATACACTGGTATAGAGGGCGCTGCAATGATCTATTCAGAGGGACCAACATGCTACCCCGCTGGCTGAGGCATGGGTAATATAAGTTCTGAGCAGAATAGTTAGTGTTACACTGACAGTACAAACTAATGGTGTTAAGATGAATCCAGCGAATTTCCACTGGACATTCCCGATGTCCCCCTTTAATGGTGGAAAGCACTGTGTTGGACTTTGTACAGAGCAAGTGCCACAGAACAGTTGCGACAAAAGTTTTCGCGACGCTCACCACCACTGGCGGTGGTTGCTGTAATTTACCAGTGTGGCGGTGCTACTATGATCACTGGATTCATCTATTGGTGGGGAGGACTATGCTACCAACTTGCAAAAGTTTGTGACACCTTGACCTTGCAAGGACAAAAAAAGGGGGAGGTGTCTGAGCAACTTGATCCTGCTTTCACCCTCTATGAACAACGCTGTAGTCAGGTCCCTCACAAGTCTATGATGGCTATACATGGATTCCGTGGATACAGTGGATCTGCTGCCACGTACCAAAGAAGAAGAAGTCCCTTCACAAGACCAGTCATAAGTGACAGGATAAACAGTGAAAAAGGAATACCATCATCACACTTCATTACATGTAAAAGAGTCTTGGAGTTTACTTTGTCTTGGTTACAACATTGTCTGTGTAGGAATCTCAAATGTAGCGGAGGGAGACGGGTTTCCCCGGCAGGGCTCTCTGCGCCTACCTCCCAGGCTGATGTTGTAAGGTAGAATCCACAGGTGGTCGTACTCGTCCCTGGACGGCGGGTGCTTGTATCGCAGCAGCAGGCCGTACTGCACGCTGAAGAACTCCTCGGGAAGGACCTCCAGGGTAACCGTGGTCTGGTCAAACGGGACGTGGAACGTGTGCAAGGACATGCCTGAGTGAATTTTCAGGAGAGAACTGTGCACTTTGTTACAACATACTTAACCTGTGGAAGGGGATCTGATATTGCAACTCTTCACTGTTCTTGAGCAGTATTTTCACTCTTTCTGAATGATTATATGGGACCAATGATTCTTGTAATGTAAACCATTCAAGTTAACTTAAGGGCTGAATTAAGGCCCTTTATGGCTTTGGATTGTAAGGTAAATTCGGAAAACATTAATAAAGCTCCCTTAGTCAAGTGCACGAAAACCATGACAACCGTAAAAGAAACGAAAGCAAACTAAGCCGACCCGACCAAACACAACCCAAACAAACCAATCCCATTCCAAACTAAAACCTATATCAAACTCAACCCAACCCCACACAACCCAACCCAACCCAACCCCACACGACCTAACCCAACCAAACCAATCTCATTCCAAACTGAAACCTATACCAAACTCAACCCAACCCCACACAACTCAACCCAACCCCACACGACCTAACCCAACCAAATCAATCCCATTCCAAACGAAAACCTATACCAAACTCAACCCAACCCCACACGACCTAACCCAACCAAACCCAACCCAACACAACCAAA